CCAGCAGAACCTGAAGGAAAGACTCAGAGGGCAGGAGTAAGGTGGGAGGCTGAGGATAAGGAGCTGCGCTTGGTGGTGGCAGGGCCTAGAAACTGGAGGGGAGCCCCAGCCCATGGTGGGGGCTTGGCTGGCTCCCCAGCTCCTGGTTTGGGGGACTGAGCACCACAAGCGCAACCCTGGCCTGGTTCCTGTCCTGGGGAGGCTCCCTGCCCACCCCAGCACTGCCCAGGGCTGAGCTGGGCAGAGCTGTGCTATGCTGCAGATAGAGAGAAGCCTCTGCAGCAGGTGGCTTTAGGAAATGCAGCACACCAATCTCCCACTCTCCTCGCCGCCTCCCACTGCTCCTGAGTAGTGAGAGGAGCCTGGGGAGGGAGGAGTTGCTCTCTTACCTTCCCTTTTCCTCATTTCCGGAGCCCACAGTGCTTCTGGCACCTTCTGCTGGTGTGAACAGCAGATGTGACCTGCAAATTGCAAGCAGCCATATCCATGTTTCCAAGATGTAGGATTTATCCCATAGGAGGCAGCACTCTTCTCTGTTCTGGCATGACACCCTGCTCTATGTGGGCATGGTCACCCCTATAGTGGAAGCAGCCATCTGCCTCTAGGTGCTTTCCTCAGCCTCTGATGCCAAACAGCACTTGTCAGCCTTGCTGGTGTTGGTGGGTGTTGGAGATGAGATGATGCCTGTTGGTGGGACAGCTGGTTAGCAGCAATTGAGGAGGGCACCACCACTGCGGGGATGTACAGGGAAAAGGGACATCAGCTGCTGTGTCATTGTCACCTCTCTATGCAGTCATTTCTTGCTCGGTGATGGCAAAATGAGTCTCTGAGCAGGTGGTTATACCTGATAGGAATCATCTGCTGCCAGGTGGTCATTTGTTTCCAGACTTTACTGACTCGGGGTCTGATCAGCAGGGCAGGTTGCTGTTCCTGGCCTGTTTCTCCCTGTTGGCAGGATGTCTGTTTTCTGGCAGGCTAATAGGACAGAGCTGGTATATGTTCTCTGACCCAGTATCTGTCCTGATGGAGACTAGACAGAAGCCTTCTGCTGGGGAATTGCCTGTACCATGGTCTTAGCAGAGCAAAATGCTTTGGGGCTTGGCATAAGTAACACCTTCTTCAATTTCACTACTGAGAGCTGTGTCCTGGAGGCAGTGCCCTGGGGATAGTGTCCTCAGTATCATGCCCACTCAGGGCTGGATGTGGTATGCAGCATGCCTGTTCTGCTGTACACCAAGCTGCAGGGACAGAGAGGTCACCATGCCCTTTGGTGCTGCTACTTGTGCCTTGGCCAGGCTGTGCTGAGCTCAGTGCAGGGCCTGGATCACACTTCCCAGCCCCAGCCTTGTGCTGTGCTGAGTCAGTGGCAATGGCTTATGTTTCCTATCCTGCCCCACTCTCTGCTGGCTAAGGCCAGGTGCTGGAGGTGCATGGACCTGATTTTCCTGTTACATCGGTCCTCATTTTCCCCCTTGCAGCCTGGGCACGGCTCCTTGGGAAGAAAGAGAAGCACTCATGTTGCGGGATGATGGCTTTCCAGGAGACATCGGGCAAGCAATTTATAGCTTGGCTTCCCTGCTGACCAGAAGCAGGTACCAGCCACAAAAACTAGTGAGTCCATCCTGCCCAAACAGCATGTGCAGGCTGAGCGAGCACTGGCACTTGGAGAAGCCCAGTTTAGTTATCTGAGCTCTCCCAAAGCTTTGTTTTGGTGTTTTGCTACTCTGGCTTTCCCTTAATGCCCTAACAAATGAATTTGCTGTCAGAAAGTCTAAAGGGAAAGACAAATTTTATAAAATTGTGCTACGAAAAATAAATGTTTGATTTTTAATTGGAAATCTGATTTTCTGGATTAGTGCCCGCCCAACCAGAGAGGAGAAGCAGATGCTGGTATATAAACAAAGCAATCAGGGCACTGATTATTTAAGGCAAACCTCACACGCTGCAAATGGTTCATAGAAATTATCCAACAAATCATTCTGAACAGTCAGTCTGATAAATGCACTGCCCATTAACAGCCATTGCAAGAGGAGGAGCAAGTGCTTTTCTGTCACCCTGTACATTTCCTAACCCTGTATTAGCATATCTCTTGTAAGACCCTGATGGGCTAGGGCTTTGTGATTCCTGCCTGTCTGTTACTGCTTCATTTTCCTAGCTGCAGGCCTGCCTGCTCTGCATTTCCTCACGTGGCTGTCACTGTCACTGCTGGGGACAGTGCCTGCCCAAGGGATGCCTGGCTGTGACTGACACTGGCCATAAACCGCTAAGAGGGAGCTCTTATGGCACCCCTGGATGTGAATACACCCACTTGGCTCTGTTGTTAACAACACCATTTCCTCTGCTGCCCCGTAAAGGTCAGGAAAAGCACAATGGCAGGAAGCTTCCCTGCAGCGGCGTGGCAGCAAATAGGAACTGCTATGCTGATTCTATGCACTTGGTTGGACTTCTCTGTGCTGTTAACAGAATATTGCAAAGTACTGTGTTATCTCAAACTGATGTGAAAATGTGGCTTAGGTCTTTTGGCAGCAGCTGTCTATCTGACTTACAGTGCCCATGCAACCTCTCACAATGGGAACCTCTGCTCTGGAGGGAGGTTGCCCATGTGCTACAGGTCTGGGCTCAGACTGTGCACAGGAACAGAAATTTTCTCTTGCCATTTTTGCTGCATGCGCTGTTCCTATGCGAGTTACCTATCTGGTTGTTTCCAGCAGTTTCTGTAATGGTAGTGCTGCTGCTATGCAATTTGCAGAAGTTCTCCTAAGAGCAGCACCGTAAGAGTTGGGATTAGATGGAAAAAATGGTCCAAAAAGGCACTGGTTTGGGAATCTGAGGCTGAAGGAACTGGTGAAAAGGCAGGAAAGCGAGCTTGAGATCATCTTCAGAGGAGATGTGATTTGCTACAAGCACTGTGTAACAGGAGTGAGTATGATGGGATGGCTTCTTTGGAGCAGAAGGTGCTCAAGAGAGGGGGGACAGAGCTGTCCTGGTGGCTTTAGGCCTCTCCTGCTCCTTAATTGTCTCTGTGCAGGAAGACTGACATTGATAAAGTACTGCTGGGTGGAGAAACAGGGACTGCCAGCACTAGATAGGTGAAGGGAATCCTGCAGGCAGGAAGGCTTGGAGTGACAGCAAATACAGCCTGCTATTAGTGAAAGATGGCAGCAAGAAGGACTTGATAGGGGAAGCCCACTCACACCGATCCTCTCACCAGTCCTCTCCTGTCATTGATGCAGCAGTGTGTTCCCCCTATGGATGTGAGCACAGAGAAACTGCAGGGTCCTACTGCTGGGTGCTGGAGTGCTGGTGGCAGAAGGGACTCAGAGGTTGCTAAGAGTCTCCTTGATTATTTGCTGAAGGTCCAACAGCTCCCTCGGCCAGAGACACTCTCTCTGTGTTAACAAAAAGGCAATGAATTATTTAGCAGCTGGAAATGCCAGATGGTGATGGCTCTGCTGTTTACATGGGGAGGGGAGGGAGTAAGATATGCACATGGAAAGAACAGATTGAGAACATCTCTGTAGGAAAGGGCTGACCCCAGCCACAGGCCCCGGTGGTCTCACAGCGAGCAAGAGACAGCCAGGCTGGAACAAATGGCTGCTGCTTGTTTGTCCCCTCATACCCCCAGCTGGGGCTGAGGTGTCTCCAGATGCCATGGACTGGCCATGTCAGTGCATATATGGCTGCGCACCTCCAAGAAGAACTTAAACTGAGTGGTCTAAAAGGCAGAGACTGAGGCCACAGCACATGGATGCATGTGCTGCTGTAGTCTCCCATCTGTCACACTGACCCATCTGCAGTAAATGTTTCCCAACAAAAGCAAATCCTTGTAGAGCTCAGGAAGATCCCCTTTCTAAGCTGAGGTATTTTGTGTGTGCTCTCCCTGTGATCCCCAAGGACCTCTCAATCAGATTTCCTTTGGTGTTGAAGCAGACTTTCTCTTGTTTGGTTTTGATGGGAAAAAATGCCGTAAATACTTTGTATACCCAGGTACCTCGAGGTGCTGGCTGCCTTTGTTTGCATCCTCCATCACTGCTTAATCAGTTTGTGGCTCCTGCTCTTCTTCATCTGTCCTGTCCATGTGGGCGAGGAGCATTCTGCATCAGTGATCAGCTGGGGCTGAGTGGCTGCAGGGGCTGCAACAGTGACTCTGTGTGCAGTGTAGGCAAAAATACAAAGCTTGCAGAGTCCATGTGAGTGGGTGCAGTGAGGTTTCATATAGCCTCACAGGTTGTGGTCGCAGTATCTCTGCTCAGCGTGTCTGCGGGACAAGGAACTCATTTAACTCCTTAGAAATTCCAGGCAGGCCGGAAGGTCACCTTGTCAGGAGCTCAAGTCCCCAGGAGTAGAGATGCAAAATAGCCAAGGTTGGAAGGGACCCCTTGGACATCATCTGATAAAAACCCCTGCTCAAGGCAGAATCAACTTCAAAATTACTTTTGGTTGCTCAAGGCCTCCAAACACAATGTTTCATCTGGCTGTTCCCCTTCATGTTGGTAACCTGTCTGTCCCTAAACAGAGAGGTTTTTGATCCTCTCCTCCTGTGCTTCAGCAACCATTTGGTACCATCCTGGCGCACAAGTCTGCGGTATCCCTGTTAATAATGATCATGCTATTTTACACTGGCTTCTGTGGGATGTTTGTTCACAGGGTTCCCAAACTGTGGGTTTGGAGAGGATGCTCTCCTCCAAAGCACAGTAGTAGAAAAGGTTTGGAAGTAAGACACAACCTTGACTGTTAATGGCCTTTAAGCATTTCCTACTAGCAGTGACTGTAGCCTGCACCATCAGCTCCCAGAGGAAGTGGAGGAAGCTTTGGAAGGAGTAATCCTGCTCTGGTGGGAAAATGGAAGGGTGGGCCCATGACAGTCAAATCACACAGACCGTGATGTTGGAGAAGGGAGGCCTGGACTATGTCCTACAAGCAGTAGCTTTGGCTGACAGGAATTAATGAAGGGCAGCCCCAGCAGCCCCCTTGCTAATATCATCATTTCTTTTTCTCAGAAACTCAAACAAATGCTTTGAGTCCTCGTTCTTACCTGCTGACTGCAACAGGGTGTCCATGGCTGAACTCTGAGTGGAGAGGTGGTGAGAGACCTGTCTCAGGTATGATGGAGACATCCAAATAGCATGGGCTTTAATGCGGGTAAGGAAAAGGGTAAGAGCTGGCTGTGAGACTTCGTCAACCCCCCTCTGCCCTGTGTGCCACAGTCCTTCCCTGGTAGCTAGTAGGACTGGGGAAATGGCTCTCCCTGGAGGTGGTCAAGAACTGTGGAGATATGGCATTGAGTTACATGGTTTAGTGGTCGTGGTAGGAAGGATTGGACTAGATGATCTTAGAGATCTTTTCCAACCTTAATGATTCAATGATTCTATGAAATTGCAAGATCAGCACCTAGCTTCATCCTCTCCCTGTCCTTAGCAAGCTCCCAACCTCTGTGAAGTACCAGGGGGAGCCATGACCCTTTTTCAAGCAGCAGCTGCTTTATCCTCATCCTGGCCCTGTGTTGCAGGGTGAGGCCTGTGACAGCACCAATGGAGAGCGTGTACTCAGTGGAACCAGCGCTGGACGGGGCTGGCCCCACCTCACTGGACATACTCAGCTTCCTGGACACCCTGGTGAACAGCACTGAGGAGCAATGCTTCAGTGCCCGCTCACGCAGCACCGTCCTGCAAGGGCTGCCATTTGGTGGTGTGCCCACTGTGCTTGCCATCAACTTCATCCTCTGGCTGGTGAGCAGACCAAGAGGGTGTCGTGTCCAAAGACTCCTGGGAGAACATGGGGGTCAGAGCTGGAAACTCAGTTTGCTGTGTCCCAGCCCCTAAAAGGATGCACCCCTGGGAGACCAGGAATAGCTGTGTCCTAAAAGAAGCCTTGCTGCCACATCTCAACCATGCTGGAGACAATCTCCTTGAGAAAGGAGGTCAACCAGAAGATGTTTGGGTCCCTGTAGTGCCCTGTTACTATGATCTGTGTGAGCCAAGTAGCTGTGAGGTTCTTCCAGCCCTCTCCTCTGATTCCATGGGACAGTCCTTGCTGTGTTGGTATTTGGGTAGCCAGAGATACATCTGGTAAATGTCCTCCTGTGGTGCTGCAGGTTGGTGCTTTGCAGATGTGGTGGGATTGGGACTGAACCCCTGTGCACATGAGGACTTTTTCTGCCCATCCAACTAATGATGCTCAGCCAAGGCCCATAGTGGGCTTCACCTGGGGCTACAGGAAAGGCTGTGGATGTGGTGGTTGTGAGCACGGGTGTGTGTTACAGATGTGGTGACAGCCACACGAGTATGTAAGTGTGTGCTGGTGCACCCTGCTGCTTTGGTCATGCAGCTCTGGTGGCCAGGAGCCTTGCACACTTTGTGGTGGGTAGCAGATGATGCTTGAGCAGCTGCAGAAGCAGCGGTCACCAGCACCTCAGGAATTGCTGCCACAGTGGGAAATGATCCAGCTTCAGTGGTCTTCATGGTGCACGTACACTCAAGATATGTGAGGCTTCAGAGGCCACTTGCGCTGTGTCAGTGTCTGTGCTGTTACCTGCAGCAGCAGTTGTGAGGTCGTGGAACAAGAGCAGTCTGGCTTGAGGAGAATTTTATGTGGGCCCATCAGCAGGAAAACAGGAAGGAGGGAGATGGTGAGATCCTGTGGCAAAACCCTTCACTGCCCCTTCCTTCCTCCTCCAGCTCCTTCTCCTGATCTTCTCCTGCCTTCGGAAAGCGGCTTGGGACTATGGGCGCCTGGCACTGCTGATGGACAATGATAGGTGAGCAAGCCACAAGGCTACTGCCAGTGATTGGCTCCAGCCTCTCTAATGGGGCTGTGGTGCAGCCCATAGAGGAATCCTGACAGTGCTGCTGTTTTGTCCAGGCCAGAGGTGATGATCTAGCTACAAAGCCAGCGCTCCTGGCTGGGGGGAACACAGGCATTATCTGCTGCAGGAAAAGTGATGACATGGGGCATGTGGTGACATGGCTCTCAGTGCCATTCAGGCAGGATATGCTGCCTGAACAGTGCAGCAGCTGGGCTGCTGAGGAAAATCTCAGAGTGGTTTCCCTGTGGGTGCTCTCCCTCTCTTTTCTGCAGCCTCTCCTGTGCCTCACTCACTTCTTTCTTTTTCATCCATTCAAAGTTTGACATCACTTTTCTACGGGGAGCAAAGTGAGAAGGAGAAGTCCCCATCAGAGAGCAGCCCCCTAGATGTCGACAATAAGGACGTGGTAAGTACACAGCAGCTATGGCAGAGGCCATATGGCAGTCTGCAGCTGCTCTTGGCATTCTCAGTAAAGCCATTTTGAGATGCCCAGGGCACTCACTGCCAGAGGTGCTATGAGGGCACCCAGAGCTACCCTCACTACCACTCTGCCACTGCTGCAAATGTGCTTTTTTCTCCTCTCAGTGGCATTAGCCACAAAGCAGGCTACACTAGAAACAAGCACAGTCCAACACATTTTGCTGTCTCTTTCTCTCTTTTGATAACAAAAGTTCAAAAACAATTACAGTTGTAGCTATTAAAAAAAATGAACTTATTAAAAAAAATAACTAGGCAGGGAAAGTAAAGGAGCAAAATAATTGCAGGTGGCAGGATAAGTATTTAAAGGCATCATACTGGATATTGTGTGCAGATGTATATTAGTCATCAAAAATAAGAGAGAAAAAAACAAAAGGAAAGCAAGCGTGGCTAAAAAGCAGATTAAGGGAGATTTATAGATGTAAGAAAGCACCTTTTAAAAGTTAAGCAGTTCCCAAATGGGGAAAATCTGAACTCTGCCAGGTTAGGTGTAAAATGCATTCCAGGGAAGGAGTAAGAGGAGTTTGTAGGAACATTTGTAGAAAGCTTAAAAATAAGTACTTAAATTATTTTTCAGACACTTAGAAACAGGAAATCTGCCAGAGAGCTTGTGAGGCCAACGTATACTGGAGGTAGTAAATGAAATGCTTGAAAGCAGAGTGTGGCAGGAGATCTACGTAAAGTCACTTGTGTCTGTGTTCAGTGAGGAGTAGTTTTACCTTGGGTAAAGCTGGGGAGAGGAGAGGAGGAGCAGGGTCAGGTCTCACAGGAGGGGAAAGGAGGGCATCCCACAGGGCTCTGCCTGCAGCTCCTTGCATTCAAGGTCATCATAAACCCCCACAGAAAAGGGGCAAAGAGGAGGAGATAGAGCCCCTAGAGTTCCCAGGGTCAGCTCCGTATTAGGGCTCTGGGGGTGGTGGCCCTTATCTCATCTTGTCTCTTTCCTCTTTCAGGGATTCTGCTCCTGGCTCCTTTCTATCTACCAGATGAAGTAAGTGTGTACTGTCAGTGTTGTGGTCATGCTGTAGGGAGCTGGTCCCTGTGGGTGGTGGTCCAAGAGTTAGAGCAATGGAGGAGAGCTCTGCTGAAGTATCCCCCAGGGGAGAGAGCAGAGGCTCCCCTCTCTCTGTCCTCCACTGCTCTGCTGACTCCAGGTTCCTGCCCCAAAGGACAGGGCTTCAGTGTCTCTCAGCAGGATCCAGTTTTACAATGGGATGGCAGCCTGAGGGCCCATTGCCTCTGTGCCCAAATCCCACATGTAGCAGGCAGGATGCCATGAGTTTTCAAGGACTCTGTGGGGCTAGAGCAGCTCCATTGTGAGCCCTAGTGTCCCCAGGGTGGGTATGACAGTGGACCACAGTGGTGGTGACAGTGGTGGTGGTGACATCCCCAGCACTCACCCCCAGCGCTCTCTCCCAGGGATGAGGAAATTCAGAGCAAGTGTGGGATCGACGCCACCACCTACCTCTCCTTCCAGCGGCACCTCCTGGTCCTGCTGATGCTGGTTTGTGTGCTCTCCGTGGCCGTCATCCTGCCTGTCAACTTCTCGGGGGACCTCCTAGGTAGGTGCATCCCAGCCTCAGGGTGGCACAAGCACTGCACTTTGGGGTTGGGGGGTGAAAGGACCCTTCCATCAGTTATGGTTCTTCAGGGTGGTGGGGGCTTGCTGGGGACCTGGGAGATGGGAGGACAGGAGGAGCAAAGAGGGCCCACAGGCATCGTTTGCCCTGCAAGCAAGAAGATGCTCTCTGCACCAGATTCTCATAAACTCCTGCTTGTCCTCTTCTCCTGCAGGACACAACCCCACTCACTTTGGCCGGACCACCATCGCCAACATCCCAACACAGTACGTAGCTCTGGCATTGGGCAGCTGCATGTGCAGCTGCAGTGCTGCAAGCACCCAGATGTGGTGCTTGCAGCAGTGCATTGTTCTGGGGCCTGGCCTATGTGAGCAGCACAGCACATGTGGGAGGCTGTGTGTCTGTATGAACCACATGCGTTCTTGGCTTAGGTCTCCAGCACTGTCAGCAGGCTCAGAGGGTTCTGCCGGTTGGCTGGGTGGCTATGGCAAGGTGCTAAACACCACGCTGGTCCATTTGCTGCAGCGTGAGCTGATGCAGTTCTCTCCTCCAGAGATCGTCTCCTGTGGTTGCACAGCATCTTCGCCCTCATCTATTTCATCCTCACTATCCTCTGCATGGCTCACCACTCCATCCACCTGGAATACAGAGAGAATGAGAAGGTGAGATGTGTCCTCCCCACAGCCACCATCCCTGCCTTTTTCAGCTCAGATGGACAACTCTGGATGTGCTCTGCTGTACGTATAGGAAGCTTTAAAAGCAGCTCCAACCTGGATAGACGTGGAAAGACAAAGTCATTTGTCTCCTGCTTCTGGAGAAAGTCTGGCAGCCTGGAGGCAAATGTTCTGCTGCCTTGTCCCAGAGACTGGAGCTCAGCTGTGTCTAGCTGTCAGAAGCTGGCTGTCTAGCCAAGCCCTGAAGCTGAGGCCCTGGGGCTGGCAGTTGCCGACAGGCTCTCCTGTTCCTGCAGCATGCGGGAGGCCAGCAAGGGACAAAGGCTGTGGGTTCTGCAACTCCTTGTGCATCCACCTAAGTGCACAATAATGTCTAAGCCCTTTCCCTTAGTGCACATCCTTTCCCTTTCTGTACTGCAGAAGATATGACCACAAACTGCAATCTGGGCTGAACAAGATAGCAAATGAATGGTCCATGGACCCCAGCCCCATCCTCTGCCTCTTCTCCTTCCGTAGGTCGCCCGGACACTGATGGTTACTCACATTCCCATGGAGATCACAGATCCTTCGCTTATCATTAAGCACTTCCAGTGAGTAGCCTCATCTCAGCAGAATGTCCCCATCCTACAGGGAAGTTTGTCTCAATCCCTGTCACTGTTCTCTGTTGCCATCATTTTCATGTGCCCACAGTGAGGCCTATCCCAGCTGCACTGTCACCAACGTACAGTTCTGCTTTGATGTGCGCAAGCTGATGAAGCTGGATGCAGAGAGGTGAGTACATGGGGACCCTGTACCTGTCTGTCTGATGGAGGCAGAACTGTCCTATCTGTTTCCTGGCAGGCGTAAGGCAATGAAGGGCCGGCTTTACTTCACCACCAAGGCACAGAAAGAGGGAAAGATCATGATCAAAACCCACCCTTGTGCCCGGATCTTCTGCTGTCGCTTCTGCGGCTTTGAGCAGGTAGGAAGCAGAGGGTTGGGCTGCAGGCAACGTGGTCCCAGTGTGGGCAGAACTGCAGGCAGCACAGTGGCTTGCCAATGTCCCAGCCCTGGCTGCTCCCCCAGGTGGATGCTGAGCAGTACTATGGGGAACTGGAGGAGAAGCTCACAGATGAGTTCAACGCTGAACGCAACCGCATCACGCTGAAGCGGCTTGACATGGCCTTTGTCACCTTCCAGGATGAGCGTATGACAGCTGTGTGAGTGTCCCGTGGGCCTGCTGGTGCGAGCATGGCCCACAGCCTGGTGGTGATGTGGGATGGGACTACCACTTCTGGGGACAGCAGGGGGCACTTTGACAGCTCCTCCAGCCAAATCCAGGCAACCAGTCTGTCTCTGCCTGCCTGGAGCTGCAGGGAGAGACTCATGAGAAGCACGGGGGATCCCGAGCCCGTGGTTCAGACCTGACCCTGAGCTTCCTCCTGCAGGATTTTGAAAGATTACAGCCGCATTCACTGTCGGAAGCACCCCCAGCAGTCCTCCGTGACCACCGTGGTCAAGTCGCACCAGTGGGGTGTGCGCTACGCTCCAGCACCCAGCGATATCATCTGGTGAGCTGCCAGGGTGGGAGGAATGGAGAGAGGAAGGGACAGCAGTTGGGAAGGGGAAACCATATCCATAGCTGTAGAGCACCTTCCCAGGGTGACAGGGGCTGAAGAACCTTTCTGTGGTCATAGCTGAAGTTACCAACGGTAATTGGAACAATCGCTCCATAGGCTGCAGGATCAGACAAGATTTGGAGTGATTGCCAGGCTGTGACTTCTCTAGTCTTACACCAAGGGATCATTGTAGCACAGGCCTCACTGTGGTCATACTCAGATCCTGGGAGCTCTGTATCTGTGATGCAGCAGTATAGGAAGGAGAGTGACAGTAGGCTTAGAGTAAGGGCTGTGGGATGGTTGGTGTGGGGAGCAGGGCACAAAGCACTGGAGGACTGAAACAGAAGACCCAAGACAGTGTTTCCTCTGCACCGCATCCAAGTTATATTTTCCTCCCACAGGGAGAACTTGTCAGTCCGTGGCACATCCTGGTGGGTGCGATTTATTCTCCTTAATATCTGCCTCTTCATCCTCCTCTTCTTCCTCACCACACCGGCCATCATCGTCAACACCATGGACATGTTCAATGTTACACGACCTGTGGAAAGCCTCAAGGTAGTCCCTGGAACACAGTCCTGAGCCCTGAGCATGCCTGAGCTTTGGTGTCTGTGTCCATGGGGAAGGGCAAGTTGGTGTCCATGCAGGAGAAAAGGGGTGGGAAGAGCTCCAGGAGATGTCAGAAGCTGCTGGCAGCACACTGCTTTCCTGCTTATTGACATGGGAGCTGTTGGAAGAGCAAGGGAACTTAGCATATTTTCATGATGCCTTTGGCTGTCCTCAAGCTCTTGCCTCCTGGAACATATCCCTGCTCATGGAAGGGCTGCTCCATGTACACCTGCCCCGGGGAGCTGCCTGCAACATGGTGGAGCAATGGCAGTGTAGGCAGGCACAGCCTGTTGCTCCCTGGAGTTGGCAGAGTCCTAAGAGGGTGTCCACCATCTCTCTTCCTGCAGAACCCAATTGTTACCCAGTTCTTCCCCACGCTGCTACTCTGGGCCTTCTCCGTCTTCCTGCCATTCCTTGTCTACTATTCGGCCTTCTTTGAGTCACACTGGACAAGGTAAGGAGATTCCATGCTCCTCTAAGACTGGTCAGGGCCATGCTGGATGAGAGGAGCCCCAGTAGCATCATCATGAGTGGTGTTCCCCAGGGGTTGGTGCTGGGGCGTGTCCTCTTCAGTATCTTTATTGATGATCTGGGTGAGGGCATTGAGTGCACCCTCAGTAAGTTTGCAGGTGACACCAAGTTGGCTGGAAGTGTGGATCTGTGTGGGGGTAGTGAGGCCCTGCAGAGGGATCTGGACAGGCTGGATAGCTGGGCTGGAGCCAATGGGATGAGTTTCAATAAGGCCAAATGCCGGGTCCTGCACTTTGGCTACAATAACCCCGGGCAATGCTACAGGCTTGGGGCAGAGTGGCTGGAAGACTGTGTAGAGGAAATGGACCTGAGGGTATTGATTGATGCTGGGCATGAACATGAGCCAGCAAAGTGCCCAGGTGGCCAAGAAGGCCAATGGCATCCTGGCTTGTATCAGAAACAGTATTGCCATCAGGAACAGGGAAGTAATTGTCTCCCTGTACTCAGCTCTGGTGAGGCTGTATCTCGAGTACTGTGTCCAGTTTTGGGTCCCTCACTACAAGAAAGACATTGATGCCCTGGAGCGTGTTCAGAGAAGAACAAAAAGCTGGTGAGGGGTCTGGAGCACAGGCCTTATGAGGAGCGGCTGAAGGAGCTGGGATTGTTCAGTCTGGAGAAGAGGAGGCTCAGGGGACACATTATTGCTCTCTATAACTACCTGAAGGGAGGTTGTAGTGAGCTGGGGGTCGGCCTCTTCTCTTGTGTATCTGGTGATAGGACTAGAGGGAATGGCTTCAAGCTGTGCCAGGGAAGATTCAGGCTGGATGTTAGGAAATACTACTTCTCTGAAAGAGTGGTCAGGCACTGGAATGGGCTGCCCAGGGAGGTGGTGGAGTCACCAACCCTGGAGGTGTTCAAGGAATATTTGGACATTGTGATGAGAGACATGGTTTAGTGAGAACTATTTGTGATGGGTGGATGGCTGGACTAGGTGATCCTGTGGGTCTTTTCCAACCTTGGTGATTCTGTGATCACACACGAGGAGTGCAAGGTTCTCTTTTTCTCCCCTTTCCCCAGGTCAAGTGAGAACCAGCTTACCATGCACAAGTGTTTCTTCTTTCTGGTGTTCATGGTCATCATCTTGCCCTCATTGGGACTGACCAGGTACAGACCAACCTGCAGCCTGGGCATCACACTGGGGTTGTCTTCTCCCTGCAAGTGAGCCTGAGAGGGCTGAGGGACAGGAGATGCTTCCATCACAGATGATGCATGGCTGTCCCTGGGAAGGAAAAGTGATGCCAAGCTGCACCCAGATGGGCACAGACAGAAAATACCCCACAGAGTAGGTGAAGATCTGTCCCAGGCTGCCACAGCTAGCCTGAGGTGCTGTTGGTGCCTGGCTTGTGTTGAGTCCTTCAGCAGATCCCAGAAGGACCAGGTCAGGTATCTGCATAGTCTTGGCTTCATTAAGTGTGATCTGAACCCAGGGCAAGGCAAAGCAGGTGCAGGCTGTATGTCCCCCACACTGCTCTGTGTTCCTCTCCTGATCTGCCCCTTTGTTTCCCCCAGCTTGGACCTCTTCTTCCGTTGGCTCTTTGACACCCACTTTCTGGACCAGGCCGACATCAAGTTCCAGTGAGTAAAGGCCTTCTCCCCAAAACTTGAGAGCCTGCAGGGCAGAGCCCAGCACCAACTCTGCCGCCCTCTCACCCTCCCTGTCCATGGGGCAGGTGTGTTTTCCTCCCAGACAATGGCGCTTTCTTCGTCAACTACGTTGTCACCTCCAGCCTGATTGGGACAGCCATGGAGCTGCTGCGCATCCCTGGCCTCCTCGTCTATACCGCCCGGCTCTGCCTCGCCAAGTCAGAGCCCGAGCGGCTCCACATCAAGCGGGTACATGGCCCCGGCTTATTCTGAATACACGGGTGATCATGTGCACCTGGAGAGGCAAAGGCAGTAACATGTTGTTGGTTGTGTCTCAGAGCCAAGCTTACCAGTTCCAGTTTGGGTTGGAGTACGCATGGACCTGCTGCATCTTCTCCGTCGTCATGACCTACAGCATCACCTGCCCCATCATTGTCCCCTTTGGTGAGTATGGCCCCACTGTATCCCCATCCATGCTGAGAGCAGCTTGCCCCAGCTATCAGTAGCAGTGTGGAGACTTCCCATGAAATTTGCAAGGAACAGCCACCAAAGATCCCCTGTCTTCCCAACAGGTTTGCTCTACATGCTGCTCAAGCACATGGTGGACCGATACAACATCTACTATGTGTACATCCCCACCAAGCTGAACCAGCGGCTCCATGTTGCTGCCATCAGCCAAGTCGTGGTGGCCCCCATCCTCTGCATGTTCTGGCTGCTCTTCTTCTCCGTCCTGCGCCTTGGTAGGGACAGCTTGGGACTGCCCCTTGCCACTTCTCAGCGTCAGCAGTCTGAAGTTCTGGGGAATGAGCTGCACTCTTGAGGGATGATGGTGTCACCTCTGAGTTAGACACAATGTAGGGGGTGGAAAAAGGGATGGGAAGACATGATGAAGACCTGAAAGATGCAGGGGTATCAGTTAGTGTTTGGAAGAGGGGGATGAGAGCTCAGAGGACCCCCAGCATACTCAGCCTGAGGCTCAGCTAGGTGTACAGCAGGTCCTTGGAGGCTCGTGTGTTAAGCTCGTGTCTCTGCCCTAGGTCCCACCCGCCCTGTCACCCTCTTTACCTTTGTGGTCCTCCTCTCCTGCATTGTCTTCTCCTTCTTTGGCCTCTGCTTGAAGAAGTTACAGCCACGGAAACCATCCAGCTACCAGGTGAGCATGGGCAGCTGCTTTCCATCTCCCACTCTGTGCTTTGCTTGGGTGCATTTGCAGTGCAGAGTCAGAGAGTTTGGCTACACCTGGATCAGAACAAGGGCAGGGATCGGTCCTGGCCCTGGCAGTCAGCTCTTTGGTACCCATGAAGGAGCTCCCCATTTCCGGACATCAGCACTGTGTGGTGCTGTGGTTAGGAGGGTCATAGCCAGCATTTCTAGCCCACTTGGATGAATCCTATTTTGGCTGGGATTTGGACCCAGCCTCGGTGAGGGATGTTGCTCTGGCTGGAGTGCCTCAAAGCTTTTCCCCTTGCCCCTGTGCGGCTTCCTCCTGTCTCCCCTCTGCAGATGTCTGATCAGTCCGAGGGTACTTTCACTGATGCCGAGCGGAGCAGCGTCTCCTCCACTCCCAACTCCAATGTGAGTACCTCTCCCTAACCCTGCTGTGGGCCCCCAGCTCACTCCCAGCCTGGGACAATATCCCCTTGCATCTAGCTTCTGATCCCTGACCTCACTCCCCTGGGGCAGCTCTTCGTGGCCACAGTGCTGCAGGAGCCCGAGCTGAGCCTGACACCGGCAGCTTCCCCGGCACACCAGTCTTATGGCACCATGGGCAACCACTTGGAGCTGGCAGAGGATGGGGAGGACTGTGGTCTGCAAAACTTTGAGACAGAGCTGGAGACAGTGGAAGGCGAGTACAGGACCGGCCCCGTGATGGAGAGCCAGCCTCACTACCAGTGAGCATCTTGCTCCCAGGCTGAGAGCCAACACTAGTGGGCGCCCACCTCACTGATGGACCCACACATGGGTGATTTTGGAGCAGGGGGGCATCAAGACTTATGTGAGGGAGGGACTTCAGCCCGTGCAAGGCAGCATGGCCTTGCCGCTGCAGACAGGCTTGGCCACCCTGCACCCCAGCAGCCCCGTCTGCCTCATCCAGTCTGGGATGGGGAAGAGAGGTTGCAGGGGTTTGGGGTAAGGTCTCCCTGAAAGGCTGTACTGCAAGGGGAGGAGGAAGGCCCTGTCTATGGTCACACATCCCCTCAGCCATGACAAAACTTTGCTTGCCCACCCATTGCTGCAGCCATCTTGCTGCCTCCCATAGCCCTGAGTGCTGTCCCCAGCCCAAGTAGTGCTGAGAGCACTGTCCTGGCAGGGCTTGTCCTCCTTGTGCCCTCCCTCTGCTGCTACAGTGTGCTTGTGCCCTCCGGTCTTCAGGGACAAGTGTATTTTGTGGCCATGACAACAGCAGCCTTTCACTAGTGGCTCCCATCCTCCCACTCTTGCTGCCCACGCTCCCCTCGGGGCTGCCTGTGGGGACCACACAGCTCCATCTCATTGCAATAGCAACAGGGGGCTGGCAGCACTCCCTGGCTTGTCCAGAGCCTCTGGAGCACGAATGCTGCTGCACTGGGTGTGTGCACACCTGCTCCTGCCCAGGCAGCATCCCTGGGCTTTTTGGGCCCTGGATGCAGGAGCAGGTACTGCACCCCTATCCTTGTTCCCACAGGGTGAGCACACACAGCTCGGCTGTGCCTGGGTGGTTTCCTGCTGGGGTAAAGCCATGGCAGGCAGCTGCTAGCAGAATAGTGATGGTGCCAGTGGGGGACCCATCTGCTACCTTCTGAAAATGCAGAGGTGGGACTCTTGAAATCCTGTCTCTTTCCATGAGTCAGTCGTCCTCCTGTAGTGCCAGTTGTCTAGGAATGGGGCAGTGCTCAGGCAGTTTCTCCCCACTCTGGTGCAGTACTGTAGAGGTAGAGGCTGAACTGGTGCGTGCCCAGGGATGGTGCCCAAGACCTTACATGGGATGTGAGAGAGCTCATCTGGGTCTTTCCCCTGCTAGGGAAAGTTGCATTGCACTTCTGGGAGGGTGCCCTGCCCCAATCCTTGCTATCCCCAGGGGTGATGGAGGGTGATGGAGGAGTCTGACCCCAGAGAACAGCATTGCAGGGGTGCCCTGTGCCACTTCCCCTGCCCAGCATTACTGAAGCTGTTGGGAGTGGGGGCACAGTGTGTAAATTCTGGAGCACCCAGCAGTGAGTTGGAGGTCTCAGCTCTCAAGGCTGGTAGCCCTGCTGCTCCCTGGCTTCTACATGCCCAAATGGTGGCTGTGGCAACCAGAAGGGACTATGGGGGGGGCTCCTAGCTCCCTGCACTGGTGTCCTGCAGCCACTCATCTTGGGGCTGGTAAGATGCTGGTGGCCCCATCCAGTGACTTGATGCTCCCTGTCTGGGGGGACACAAGTGCCTGCGAGTGGCACTGAGTCCTGTGGAGCTCAGGCTTGGATTGCCCTTGTTTGCCACACTGTAGGAATGTGCCAGAGGTCTGTACCTTCTTGTTATTTATTGCTATGACCGTGCCTTGAATAAAATGACTTCACCCATCTGCTGCCTGCAGTCATCACCTCTGCGCGTCACCCTCTGCCCAGTTCCAGACCCTCTCCAATGACAAGCATTGGCTGTCCCTTTAGTATCCAGCCTGTGGCATTGTGGCAGCAGCACAGCAGGTCAAGACAAGGCAGCAACAGGAAGAGCTATCTGGGCCAGAAGCACTTCAGGGGTAAAGGGGAAGATGCAGGAGCAGACAAGGTGCGGGGGGAAGAGGAGCACCCAGTGGTGTTACCTCAGAAAGGCTGGTACAGGGCAAGGGGTATCAGATTAGGTGAAAAACTGGAACATTTAAATCTAGCCCAGCAAACCCCTCTGTCATCCTTTGTTAAGCTTGCTTAGGCCTCTAAAAAATAAACAGGCACCCAAAAGGGCAGAGACTCTCGCTTATTCTTTATTAAACAGTACAGCTGGGTATAAGAGGCACACAGACTAGTTTGTTTCCCCTAGGAATTACACAAAACATGGCACAAAAAAAGGAGTGGAAGCTAAAGGACAAGGTGACCATTTTGTGCAGTAGCACACACTCCATCCCTCACACACCTGCCTATGTGCCATGCAGGTTCAGAACATTCCTGCCCCTGGTGCTGATGCCCCAGATCAGAGCTGTAGCAGGAACTGCCCTATTCCCCGCCCCTCCTGCCCTGTACCAGCCTGCAAGAGCACAGCCTGGTATCACAGGGAGGATAGCGTGCATGGCACACACGGCTCTGCCCTGACACCGCTCCCCTCACAGTCAGGGTCCTTGCTGTGTGCTCAGCACAGCCACCAGCACCACAGGGCAGGGGACAGGGAGTACTGACATATCTCATGGATTGCCCTCTGCCCAGAGGCAGGATAGGTCAGCACAGGAGGGACAATCACAGCCCTGAACACTGGGCTTCTCCTGCCCTGAAGGAGAAGTGAAAAAGGACATTGGCTGTAGACGAGCACTTGCTCCTTCTCCTTACCCTGGGATGACTTCCCCTAAAGATGACCTTCTCCATAGAGATCAAGTTCAAATCCCTTGGAGCATGTGGGTTCTGCCTCCCAGCCATTCCCTTGGAAGCTTCCTGGCAGGTGTTGTACTCCTGCCCTAACATGGCCCTGCTGCTCAGTGCTAGCCATGTGTCTTCCCCCTCCATGGTGGCTTTGTCTCAGGTATGACGGAGTTATTTCTGCAGGGTGAGGAAGCTCTGCCACTGGGCACTGTGTGCAGATCGGAAGCACTCCACGTCCTACCCGTATAAGCAGAAAAATTACAGCCATGCTTCCCCTGGCCAAGAGCCAGAATCATTTCTAGAAGCCGTTGCCATGACATAATTGCAACTTCCATTGTTATTTTAAGACATGTTTTCTTCTATTTGCTTTCTTCTTCTCAATACAAAACATTAAATAGCCACTGCTGCTGGTGCACTTCAGCCAGCTCTCACATTAAAATCAACTGGCCAAGGCAAGAGGAACCCTTCTGGGCAGCAGCCTATATCATGAGAGCAGCCTTACCTTGGTATTAATGCAATCTCCCACCACTGGAAACACTCTCAGGGAACACACTACACTGCGACCAGCCTCACACCAGAGAAAGGCAGAGGAGCACCAAGATCACTGCCCAGGGTGATACTGGGTGAAGAGAGCAGGATGAGAGCTCGCTGTGGGGCTTGAGAGGCCCTCACCAGCAGCCATCTTATGGGGATGGGCAGCAAGAGGAGGGTAGGGAGCCAGGAGAAGGCCAAAGCACAGCTGCAGGTGCTGGCACACAGGAACCTGGCACTGGGTGGTGGTGCTGTGCTGGACACTCTGGGCTACAGAGAGATACCCCGTGGCCACCAGGAACAGCAGGGACATGGCAGTGTCAAAGCAAGGTGAAATCACGAAGAGAACCCAGCACATGTAGCTGGAGGAGGTGAGCTGGTGCATAGAGACAGACAGGTGGAGAGAGGCAGAGAGGGCGAGTGCTCATCCTGTAGAGAGCCAGGCCTAGGGCTGATACCCCTCTGGGAGGACCTCCCAGCCACGCTGCATGGCTTTCACCACCGCACTGTAGAGTTTGATCCAGGCCTCCTGCACATCCGGGCTGAAGGCAGCACCTAGGCACTTCTCCAACATGTACAGCAAGGACTCACCAACTGTCTGCAATCCAAACAGGGAAGTGTCAACTCAGTGCTGGGGAACAACAGGCAGATCCCTTCCCTCACTCCCACACCACTTTGGGTGAGAGACAGTGGTGCACCAAGCCATCGCTCTCTCCAGGTGGGAAATCATAGAATCACAGAGTTGTTAAGATTAGAAAAGACCACTACGATCACCTAGTCTGGCCATCAACCCAATACCGCCATATCCCTAAGTGTGGCATCTACATGCTTCTTGAACACCTCCAGGGACAGTGACTCCACCACTTCCCACCTGGAATGGGCAGCTCATTTCCAGTGCCTGACCACTCTTTTGGGAGAAGAAATATTTCCTAAAATTCGACTTCAGCCTCCCTGGCACAACTTGAGGCCATTCCCTTTCATTCTATCACCATAACCTGGGAGATGAGGCTGACCTCCACCTTGTCACTTGTTCAGGGAGTTGCAGAGAGAGATAAGGCCTCCCCTGAGATTCCTCTTCTACAGACTGAAGAGCTTCAGAAATGCTTTGCTCCCCTCTGCCCTCAAACTCCAGGCAGGGAACAACGGGAGCTCAAGGGCTTCCTGGACCAAGCCAACACCTCCAATGGCTCAGGGCTGTGCTGAGCCACCAGCCTCCTCCCCAGCCAGCTGCACCCAGCATGGAGTGCAGAACTGGGACTGTCAAGGGTTGCATAAACAGCTGTAATGGGAAGGGAGAGTACACCTCACCGAGAAGGACTCAAGCTTCACACCAACTGCCTGATGCTTCTTGCCGAGGTTGCAGAGATATTCTTCCAGGCAGGGCAAGTCCTCCAGGTGGCTGACAGCTGCATCAATCACCAGCATCACCTGGGGGAGCACAGCAGCTGCACCACATTTGTACAAGACCAGCCCCTCTACTTCACTTTGCTCAGCCCAGCAACTACCACCACCTCCCAGCACAGCAGAGTAGCTGCTGCCCTCCCTTCCTGGAGGAGAGAATGGAAACTCTGGAAGTTGCCAGGATAGCACAACAGCATAGGAGACAATTCTAAGGTAGGCCAAAGTATTTTGAGGGGAGGGGGGGGAGAGCCCAGCCAGGAGATCTGCTCTGGCAGTGCACAAATGGCAGTGGGCTCCCAGAGGGATGAAGAGTCACGTGGAAGCAGAACAGAGTTAATGAGGGATGAAGGGAGCAGACAGAACAAGTTAGAAGAGATTAAAGCCTGGGCATGGTTAGCCCAGCAAAGGCAAGAGGTGATAGAATTACTCTATGATTTCAAGAGGGAAATTATCTTCAACTACAGCAAAGAGCTATTTCAGCTTAAGGCAGTAAGAGCAGAAATAAAGATGGACATTGCTTGTTCAGTAATGGCAGGAAAATAGCAGAAAGCCTGCAGCTATCAGGAAAAGAGCCTCTCACAAGGAACAAGGCCAGGCGAGCAGGCGCTCCGCTGCTTTAAAGATGGAGGTTATAAAGGCTGGTTTGAAGATGGAGGTTATGGGGTTACAAAGGCAGCACAGGCTGCACTCTGTCCCAGCAGGGCTGCTCCTCCGGGCTCACCAAAGGGCTGTGCTGCGTTATGCCCAATTCTTCCTGTGCGTGAGCTCCTGCGAGGCAGTCCCAGCACGGCTCCCTCCCCGTCTCGGGGACAGAGCAGCCTTCCCGCGCGCTCCCATCGACTCCCGGCAGCCCCGAACCCACCCGCGCATTGCCCCGACCCCTCTCACCTTCCGAACGTGATCCAGGAACTCGGGTGCGGCCAGGCACTCTTGGGGGCTGGCAAACTGCTTGCAGTTGTACTGGAAAAGGGGCAACAGGTCAGGGTCCAGATCGAACAACCTGCAACGGCGGGAGAGAGGCCCCATCTTCTCTCTTTGTTGGCTCCATTCGGAGTCCCGCTCACCCGCCGCCAGCGGCGCCGCAGCCCGTAGGGAAGATGCTGAGATGCGCTCCGCGAGCTCCCGCCCGGCCGCAACGCGGGGCACCGCGCGGGGCAGCCCCGCACCGCCCGCCGCCCCGGGAATCCCCTCCTCCGGGCTGAGCACCCCGGGCGCGGAGCCACGCCGCTTCTCGAGCCCCCGCTCACCTGGAGAAGAGGACGACGCCGTGCTGCACCGGGCTGCCGCTCACCCGCCGCCAGCTCTCCCGGATCAGCTCCTGCTGCGTGCAAGACAGCATCCCGCTCTCCATAGCGGGGCGGGGAAGAGCCCGCCCGGGGAACCTGCCCCTGTCCCCGCCGCCCGAGGTCCGCTCCGCACGCAGCGGGGCCGGCAGCGAAGCGGAGCCAGGAACGTAGCCGCCCGCCCTCCGCCCCCCGCCGTGCCCCCGCGCCTCCCCGGCCAGGCGGTTCCGCGCCGAGCTGCCCCTCGGCCACCGCTGCCCCCGTGGGCAGGTGCCGGCCCGGCGTCGCAAAAGAGCCTCTGCCATTTCAGGGTAATTAACGGCTGAATCCTGTGAAGGTGTTGGTACGCAAAGCGGAAAACAGCTTTGTGAGACGCGTTCAGGACTCCCAGCTTCTCCTTAGAAAAGAGAAGGCTCCGGGGAAACCTGAGAGCACCTGAGAGCAGCCTGTCAGAATCTAAAGAGGGTGTAAGAAAGAAGGGAACAAACTCTTCAGCAGGGTCTGTGGTGATAGGACAAAGGGAAATGGTTTCAAACTCAAAGGGGTTTAGACTGGGTAAAAGGAAGAAATTTTTTACAGTAAGAGTAGTGAAGGATTTGGGACAGGTTGTCCATAGGTGTTGATTGGTGCCCCATCCCTGGAGACAGTCAAGCTGAGGCTGGATGGGGCTCTGAGCAACCTGATCAGCTGTAGATATCCCTGTCCAGTGGAGAGAGTTGGGCTAGATGGCCTTTTAGAATCTCCTCCAACTCAGATGTTTCTATGATGCAATGAACTTCTCTTTATTGCTCAGATAAAGATAAATGGTGCATTTAATTTAGCCCAAGGGAGCATGAAGGAAACTCAAAGGAGTATAGGCAAGCAAGGGCTCAAGAAGCATAGCAGAATCTAGGAAAGAAGAGCAGCCCCACGAACAGGAGTTGCAGAAGGATGCAAACACCACAGAAGCACCAATGTCACTGAAACCCTTGCTCTGCTCTGGAATAACAACTACACCAATCTTATCTCACGTCCTGCTGCAGACAGCGGTCTGGACCCCTGACCCAGATGCACCTTGACTCAGTGCAAGCAGAACGGAGGCTCTCTGCTTCAGAGCATCACCATCCATCCTCAGCAGGAGGCACAGC